AGTCATCAATAAAGATTATAAGATATGGAAATAAACGGACAAACTTATTGCAAGACCGGCTATCAAACACAAGCTCAAAACTCTAACAGAAAAGAGGTTGCAAACAAACCCTTAGATGATAAACAAAGGACGAAACATGATTGGAATCAACATACAAAAGTAACGTGGTTCAACTAAAGTGTTAACAAAGTTCAATTTACGTCCATGACAAAATTCAATATCATAGAGATTACAACTTAAAGCTTCTCTCTTATAATGAACTCTAGCTCAAATCACTTAACACAATGAAAACATTTGAACAACAACTCTAAGTTAGCTTTAACTATCACTATGGCTTCCTATACATAGTACATAACTCCCACAACTAACTTCCACAAAATGTAACTAAACAAGTGGAGAAGACACATGAACCTTGCTTCCAGCTTCTGAGCTGAAATGTCACTTAGGCAATTGTTCTAGACGATATTAGTCTTAGTAGAAGCCAAAAGACTTGTTAAGAAAATGAACCTCACGACTAACTCAACCTTATAAATTTGAGTTAGGAAAATGAGGTTTGCATCATCTTATATACTATAATTTGGTCTTATCTCTAGTCAATGTGGATCCCTTAACACACCTCTTCACACTATGGACTAGACATCTCAAGCGTGGGATTGGGGGAACTGATAGAAGGTGACGTGAGACCCAATAAACTTGACTAGAATAGGTTATGAATGATTGTGATACCATGTTAAGAAAGTGAACCTTAAGTCTAACTTAATCCGAAAAAACTAATGTAAGGTGATATTTCCATCTACTTATATATATATATATATATATATATATTATAATTTGGCCTTATAATTTGGACTTATCTCTAGTTAAGATGATTTTTTCAACATTATTAGGAAGTAGACTTTAAACTTAACTTAGCCTCACAAAATTTGCTTGTAAGTTGAAGTTTTGACATTTATCTATATCTTTAGTTGATGTAGGATCTCCAATACACACCCTCACGCCAAGGAATGAACATCTTGAACATGGGATTAGATATTTGTGGGTAGTTTAACAAGTGTCCTACAGTGGTTATCAAAGCCATTTAAAGTCTAACCTAAGGAAATTCATTGGATTATTGTGTCACCTCTATTGGGCTCCTATTGGACCATCCACTAATTCTAATCTCATGTTTCAAGATGTTCATTCTTCGGCATGTGGGATTGTGTTGGAGATCTCACATCAATTAGAGATATGAGCAAATTATAATAAATAAATAGGGTGCAAACTCTACTTTACAAGTTTATTTTTTGAGATTGAATTAAACTTAAAGTTCATTTTCTAAGATGTTTTACTTATACTTGCCGCCAAATATATTGGGAGACACATCTTCTACTAGACAATATGATGAAGTTAGACAGCCTAGAAACCTTGACACGATTTTACTAAACTAATGTCTGAATAAAACACATTAAGCCCCCACACATTTGGAATAGGAGACTGATTTAAAACATCACTTTGCACACATTGCTTTTAGATAAAATAGAAAGGAGATGTACTTTTGTTGTTACTTAATGGAAATGGTATGCGCTTATGCTTACAATTTCACTCACATCATTAACAGCTTTCAACGTTTAACTCTAAAAGCAATCATTGAAACATATCCTTGATGGTATAAAAAACGGGTGTCCTAATCGAGAATGAGAAGGGAAAATTCTCTCCATTTCAACAATATAGACTCTGAAATGGCCTATTCCTTTTTCTAGTGACAATTGTCCTCTCTGAACCTTTGTTCTGAAAAAGACAACAATCATTATGAAATATGACCGTACAAGATAGGTCTTTTGTAAATTTTTGTGTGGAAACAAGGTTCTGTGGCATGAAAAACATTTTTCATAAAGTTTTGAAAGAAATTTTAATATTTCCTATATCATCTGGTGGTTACAAGAGTGTCACTGTAGTTGCAATTATTTTATTTCTAGGACAAGGAGAGAATATGTTTAGGGAGTCATATGATCTGTGATTCAGGAATCGAGTATCCAAAAAGACGGGAAAAATGTGAGGCTCTTTGCCCAAATGGAAGTGGAATCGTACTTGAATATACCAAACACAAGTAGTTTAATTTTTCATATTTATTCAAAGAAGACTTGGAGCAATAAACCCCTAAACAAAATCACATGAAAGTTGTCAGGAAGGTTACTGGAAAAGTAGTCAGAAAATTATTAGAGACTTATCAGACAGTAACTGGAAAATTGCCTGCAAGTCACTGAAAAGGTGACATTCTCAGAAAAGCTGACAGTCACCGGAAAATTCTGACAGCTGCGAGAGCCCAATCGAACTTGCTGAACAACTTGATGTGGAAGCAAAACCCCCAATCAGGACTTGCAGATTGACTTACTAAGATAATAAATAACTATTGCTATTCTGAATAGAACAACTAAAACATCACAACTTCTTAATGTACATTAAATTATGCCAAGCATAACTTACATTAAATGCTTTTATTTCCTGAAAAAATAATGAACATTAAATGCTTTTATTTCCACACGTACCATTATGGCATTGCATCAATAAACATAACTTACAATTACTGTATTGCATCCATAATGTAGCTTACTATTACTGCATGCATTCATCAATGTAGCTTACCATTACTGAATTAATTCATATGGGGAAGCTAACTGCACGAACACTCCTCTGTTTGGACATGTTTTCAAGCATGTTTTCCCTAACTCCTGTACAAAATATGCTTGAATGATTGAGCATATTTTCTTACAGCTATTAGGACACTGGTATTATGATTTTTTTTAATAAAATTTATTTTTTGATCATTTAAAAAGGTCAACATAAGATATAACATTTAGAATATTAAAAATAACGTATTAGTATTATCATAAAAAGGTTATAAAGATCAGTAAGGTTTAGAAAGATGAATATACTTTTCTTGAAATCTCCGTTATTCTGAAGAGACAGAACTGCTTATATTGTGAAATAATGAACAATTGTTTTATTGTTTTGTGAAGCTTGATATTATAAGATGGAGGATATACAAATCATAATTATGAAAATAGATCTTGTTATTTTACTTGTTCGTGTGTGGTGGCTATTTAGTTGTCTTGTATTTCTGAGATTAGTCACGTCAGTTATTTCTTTTAGATCCCAAGAGATTGGGATTCAAATACAAGGTGGGCTCTCGAGCTGTAATTTTTTTTTTTTTTCTGGTAGATGGTAATACGACATAGTAATAATTGCCAAAGGAGATATCTAGGTTAGACCCAGCTTCGAAGATTGTGTTTTTTTTTTTAACCAATTATTCTTTAGCTTTGATTTTAAAGTTGAATAAGCATATCAGTTTGATTGTTGCATTTCTCTTTTTCCTTAACAGAAAAGAAGGTTGATGATTCGCCCAAGAAGGTTGTCTGTTCTTGTTCCATATTATGAAGACAGTCTATGAGCTGGATATGCGTATCCTTATACATCATCAATGACTCGTGAATTGTAGAAATCATGTGCCTGGACAAACCTATTTCAGCATTCCTGTGTAAAGTACGTATACGGGCAACTATATATCCATAGAAAAGTTTGTGTTAATGGTGACTTCCGAAGATGCTGTCATTCTTTTATTACAAGTACTACAGCCTTGACATTGTAACCATTGATTGGTACTGTTGTGCATCAAATTGTTGTTTTGAATTTGCAATGACCTGCGTGATATCTTATGTATCCCAGAGTGCCTAAGCACTTGTGCAGTGTTCACTTTCTCATTCTATTGTCTTCACATCACATGGATAATTCACTCACACCTCTGTTTCCAGGTTTAAAGTATTTCAATGAACTAAAACCTCCCTATCGTACTATAATGACAAAAATAACTTTTAAATTCTTATATTCTAGAGAATTTTTTCGAAATGTATTATATAAAGTTTTTGGGTTATACGTTCTAGAAGTATTTTAGAAAATCTTTTACAATAAGGATTTTGGATATTATTTGGAATTGGCTTTTAAATATTTTAAATTGATTACTTCAGAACACCTCACAGTGAGCAATTTCATTAAGGATAACATTTTTTTTAGTAATTGGAAATACATTTCATGATACTTGTTCCGGGACACAAGTTTGAAACATTTCATAATGGCATTTTTGGAAAGTAATAGTAAAAGCTTTCAGAATGGAATTTAGAATTTGGAACAATACAATCTTTTAATTCTTCTTTTTCATCATTTTCTTTTCTCTACTAAAAGAATTTGGACAAAAGTTATCTATTTTAACTTCTTTTAATAATATTTTCTATATAAAATTTTAAATATACTTTTAGGTTATGTATTACTCAATTATTATTAATTCTAATCATTAAATGGACATAAATATACTTTTTTCCTTTTATTTATTATTACTGACATTTATGTTTTTACGCTATAAGTTATTTTTATACTTTAGATGAAATCAACCTTTATGACTAACTTGAAATTTTTGTATATTAATTAAACCTGTATTAAAAAACAAATAGTATAGTTCAACGCTTTAACTTTCCTTACCAAATGAAATAATATTATCGAAACCTATTTTTAATTTATACAATATCAAAATTTAGATTCTCTGTAACAAATAATATCATCAAAACTTATATTTAATTAATTTAGTTAAATTTTTAACACTTATATTTTAAATAATTCTGATTTTTTTTCTTTAAAGTTTAGGCAAAGTAATTTAAATCCCATAAAATTTAAAAAATATTACCTCGTATCTAATATATTAAACTTGAAAGAATAAAATAAGTTTAAAATTACATTTTATTAACTTATGAGAATAAAAAAATTAAATTTGAGAAACTAATTATAAATCCAACATAATTCAATTTAATATTATAAAAAAATTATATTTGGTTTATACATCTATCAGTTAATTGTAGTCTCCATTCATCCGATGGGCAAATAAACATTTTATTCTAGTCTTATAATGAATAAGAAATAAAGTCTCGGGTGAACCAAAAACAATGGTTAAGAAACAAAAGGTAGCTGGAACAGACATTCAAAAGTATCAATGGCAACCCTGCCTATAGGAGTAAAAAGACAATTTTACTAAGAAGTTTTAAAGGTTCAACATTTTAGGATTGATGAGACCGGGCAAAACTGAACATTAGTTAAGAGAAAGGTGAAACATATGAATCATTTCTCTTCTATCTGGCCACAATCTTCTATTACTACGGTTTCCGATGTCTTGCCACTTCCCGAACCCACCTTCTCCATCTCCTTCACCACGCTGTATCCATCAACAACTTTTCCAAACACGACATGCTTTCCATCAAGCCACGGGGTCTTTGTAGTACATATGAAGAACTGAGAACCGTTTGTATGGGGTCCAGCATTAGCCATAGATAGAATACCAGGGGCAGTGTGCTTCAACTTGAAATTCTCATCTTGAAATTTGGAACCGTAGATTGACTCTCCTCCTGTCCCATTCCCTCTCGTAAAATCACCTCCCTGACACATAAATTCTGGTATAATACGATGAAATGTTGACCCCTTATAGTGCAAAGGTTTCCCAGATTGTCCAATCCCCTTTTCCCCAGTACAGAGAGCCCTGAAGTTTTCAGCTGTTTTTGGGGTTGTATCGGCAAACAACTCCATCACTACTCGCCCAGCTTTCATCTTTCCAATTAGAATATCAAAGAAAACTTTCGGGTTTTTAGACATATTGATCACCGCTTCCTCTGCCCGCGATGTAATTTCTTAGTTCCTACACAAATAAAGTTGTAAGATGTCGCTACTTGATAGCATAGCCATGTCTTCTTAGTTTTTCTTTGCTAAGAAATAATAGTAATGATACTCAGAAACAAAAAATACTGTTAATTCAAAAATACTAAAAACGGGCTGGATTTTCTGTTTTGCTTGAGATACAAGAAAGAATTACACTGTTATAATATTTGCCACAATGCGTAAATGCTATTCCATACGAATTGCAAAACACCAAATGACATTCACGGCGGCAATGTTAGATGTAGCTTAGGTTTATGTTTTGTGCTGACGGCATAACTAATCAGCACAAGACCGTCCATAAGCACAGCAACTGAAAAACATCATCAAAAGGGAACAAGTTTTCACCACAAAATGTGGTTCCTCAAAGGAAACAAATCAAAAAGTGATTTAAGCCCTAATCAATGAAAACAAACAGTAACTGGGCTAATTAGATAATGTTCATCATCCTGAACAAAATCCTCAAGACGTGAAATGTAAAAGGATTTTAATTAAAAAAAGGATGACATGCGATTTAGCACAAGCTTTGAACTCACAGACTATAATAGTGGCTGCAAATCTTCGAAATGTGCAATGGCAAACTAAGGTCGAGGGGTTAAAGTTAAGTACGAACAATAAAAGGGGACGACAATGGCAAAAATAGAGAGCATACCGGCACATTAGATCCAAGACAACTACACAACTAACATGCAGTCATCTAAATATTTACCCAGGTCACTATAATGCTTTAAAAATAAAAGCCTGCATATCTACTCATTAGTATGATAAACATTCTTAAGCCGAAAATACAACTTTAAGCAGATCTGGATCCACGGATTTGAATATAAAAATCACACAAATCCAAAAAATCAAATCAGTAATCAGTAGCTTATGAAAACATACAAAAGTAAAAAAAAAAAGAAACTTCTTTCAAAAACATCTTATCCTTTACAACCAACAACTTCAACGGATAATCAAAGGAATAAGAAAATGATTTAGACTACAAACTAATCTATAGAACATTGATGAATTGAAGAGAGAGAAAAACACGGACAAAAAAAATCATAAGCTCCAGGAAACACAATCCGGTAGAATACGCATCAATATAAGGATTAAGAACAGAGCAAGACACCTTGTAAGAAGCTGCGGCTAAAACCCTAGCCCCGAGTCGAAAGATCGAATAGAGTGAAGAGAAGTGAGGCAAAGAGGGTTTATTTACAGCTGCAATTTTTTCCATCAGTTTACAAAAATACCCTTTTTATTTTATGTAATTCCCTTTGTTACATAATTTATCTATTTGTCTACGTTAAATAAACGACGAAAATGTCATTTTTTTTATTTGAAAAAAAAAGAAAATATTTTTTAATAAATTTTTTGACAACTTTTGTTAAGACGATAGTTTGTGATTGATTGTTCCAAATATACGAACCAATACATAATAACACATCATTTGTTGTAAAAAAACTATTAAAAAAATTATTAAAATATCAAAATTTTAAAAAGAAATTATCAAAACATATGATATTATGTTTACTAAATCGTTTGATAAGATAATAAATTAAATATTTCAATAAAAATGACTCGATACTCTTTAATTTTTGAAAAGTTTATCTAATTGTGACAATATTTTATCATCCAAAAATAATTTAATAATTTCTCAAGAAAATAATGAACTATGGTTTCTTATGAAAAAGTTTCACCCATATATCAAACATCTTTGAGCTTAATTATTTTAAACTTGAAATTAACATTCGATTTTTAAAAATTGACAAGGTGGAATGATAACATGAAACATAAACGTTTACTTGTTCAATTGATTGAGAACAAATTAACAAACATAGACAATGTTTTTTCTACAAGGGTATGAATTCACCGAATAAGAAGGAAATTTGTTGAACAGAGAATTACGAGTGGTCGAACTCCGAATTTCAACCCTCTGTTGGTACAATCATGCATCCTCATGCCTATCCCTCTTCAGAAAATACGCCTTCATCACTGTTCAACTCTTCAATATCTTTTTCTGCATCATCCAACTGGTCAAAGAAAAGAAATAAGAAACTTACAATTATACCAAAACTCACATAAAAGTGAAATAAAGACAGTGATGTGACTATACATTTAGCTTGGATCCCCGTATGTAATAGCGCGAGGTTTTTGATCCACTATCTTCAAAATATTCGTTCACCTTTTTAGCTGACTTTTCAGCTGTAAAAATGTTTTGAGTTTTATCCTTAGACAAAGAGCTGTCGCTTATATCATCGTCATCATCAGAGAATGAGTATTCAGTCATTTCAAAAGCTTTAGAAATCCCATGAACCACGAAGTTCTCGGAAGTGATCATGTCAGGTGCCACAATCTCAACACCATTAACGAACATGCCGGGCGCGAAATCCAGAATCCCATCAATCTCAAGAAGCTCATCAGGCACGAGCGTCTTCAAGAGAGTCCTAACCGGCAGAGAAGCGAGTTCTTCGTAACGAAACCTCTCGGGAAGAATATGAAGCCTCACAGCTCTATGAAGCAAAGTCGAAGGGTTGGAGCCAATCAACATGAAATCAGGAGGAGCAAAGATGGTAGCAAAACCCAAACTACCTGAATGATCTTTCTTTATTCCTTCAAGAACCGAACGCAGTGCAACGGAGAACGAAGCGTACCCTTTTGCACGGAGCAAGTGAACAACGCGGTTCCAGCGAACCCCGTTCTTGGAAAGGGAGTCGTTGGAAGAACAAGTGGGGGGTCGAATGAAGAAATCCAAACCCCGTTGAAGAAGGTCTTGCGGGTGCAAGGGGGAGAAGGGTGCAAGAACGCCATGCACGGCTAGTTGGTCTCCGAGGAAGATGTTAGGGTTTGATATCAAGACGTTGTTGATCTCGACGGAGTTTCTTGCAGGGTCAACCTTGGTGAGGGAAATGTTTTTGTGGCGGAGGAGGGTGGTGAGGCAGGTTCCTTGGGACATGTTGAGGAGGTCGTGGAAGGAGAAGGGGTTGGAGGAGGAGGCGGTGGTGGTGTGATAGAGGAGGAGGGTTTTGAGGAACCAGAGAGGGTGTGAGGTGTTTCTGATGGCGGAGTCTCTGATGGCGAAGATGGTTGAGTTTTGGGGCGGTTTGAAGAAGGAAGGAGAGTGGTGGAGAAGGTCTGCCATTAGAAGGAAGCCTGCTCTTCGGAGAGCGTTGGAAGCATTGAGAGAGATATCATGGTGTATGGGTGTGGCTTCTTGGCTTGAGTTCTTGGATTCAGAGGAACGAATTGCAGAGGATATGGCGATGATTCCAAGAGCTATTGAGGCTGCAACGTACAGTGGGAACCAACACCAACGGGAATAAGCCATCCACACCACTGCATCAAACATACAACTTCGGCTGTTTATTTATATCATTGTATCAGAAACTATTCCCATTTTCTTTTACTCAGGGAATGGATGATACAACTTATTCAAAGGTCATCAAAATTCAAATCTATGCTAGCATTTATACCACGTATTCTCCCTCATCAGATTCACCTTTAATGTTGTGAAAAGAAATCTAAATTATGAAATTTAATCCATAATCATTCAAAACTATATTACATTAAGTCTATTTAAATACATGTATCTCAAACTTAAATTTGTATTTTTATATTTTAAATGAACTTTTAGATTTTAAAAATCCAAAATTATAAGTGCATTGAACCAAAAAAGACTTAAGACTAGGTTGATACTAAGCATCTCATGTTAAAGATTAATCTAATATGCTCCGTTTATTTTGTAACGTATGTAATTTGTTAAACAAAATATCATATGTTTTTTATAAAACATATAAAAAGAAAATATATAATTTATCGTTATAGTTATCAAAACAATAAATATATCAATAAAATTTAAAAACATATTTATAGAACCTTCTAAAATACATAATCTCTTTTATATATAACACATAATCAAATCCATATATTAGGATTTTCAGTTANGCTGCAATTTTTTCCATCAGTTTACAAAAATACCCTTTTTATTTTATGTAATTCCCTTTGTTACATAATTTATCTATTTGTCTACGTTAAATAAACGACGAAAATGTCATTTTTTTTATTTGAAAAAAAAAGAAAATATTTTTTAATAAATTTTTTGACAACTTTTGTTAAGACGATAGTTTGTGATTGATTGTTCCAAATATACGAACCAATACATAATAACACATCATTTGTTGTAAAAAAACTATTAAAAAAATTATTAAAATATCAAAATTTTAAAAAGAAATTATCAAAACATATGATATTATGTTTACTAAATCGTTTGATAAGATAATAAATTAAATATTTCAATAAAAATGACTCGATACTCTTTAATTTTTGAAAAGTTTATCTAATTGTGACAATATTTTATCATCCAAAAATAATTTAATAATTTCTCAAGAAAATAATGAACTATGGTTTCTTATGAAAAAGTTTCACCCATATATCAAACATCTTTGAGCTTAATTATTTTAAACTTGAAATTAACATTCGATTTTTAAAAATTGACAAGGTGGAATGATAACATGAAACATAAACGTTTACTTGTTCAATTGATTGAGAACAAATTAACAAACATAGACAATGTTTTTTCTACAAGGGTATGAATTCACCGAATAAGAAGGAAATTTGTTGAACAGAGAATTACGAGTGGTCGAACTCCGAATTTCAACCCTCTGTTGGTACAATCATGCATCCTCATGCCTATCCCTCTTCAGAAAATACGCCTTCATCACTGTTCAACTCTTCAATATCTTTTTCTGCATCATCCAACTGGTCAAAGAAAAGAAATAAGAAACTTACAATTATACCAAAACTCACATAAAAGTGAAATAAAGACAGTGATGTGACTATACATTTAGCTTGGATCCCCGTATGTAATAGCGCGAGGTTTTTGATCCACTATCTTCAAAATATTCGTTCACCTTTTTAGCTGACTTTTCAGCTGTAAAAATGTTTTGAGTTTTATCCTTAGACAAAGAGCTGTCGCTTATATCATCGTCATCATCAGAGAATGAGTATTCAGTCATTTCAAAAGCTTTAGAAATCCCATGAACCACGAAGTTCTCGGAAGTGATCATGTCAGGTGCCACAATCTCAACACCATTAACGAACATGCCAGGCGCGAAATCCAGAATCCCATCAATCTCAAGAAGCTCATCAGGCACGAGCGTCTTCAAGAGAGTCCTAACCGGCAGAGAAGCGAGTTCTTCGTAACGAAACCTCTCGGGAAGAATATGAAGCCTCACAGCTCTATGAAGCAAAGTCGAAGGGTTGGAGCCAATCAACATGAAATCAGGAGGAGCAAAGATGGTAGCAAAACCCAAACTACCTGAATGATCTTTCTTTATTCCTTCAAGAACCGAACGCAGTGCAACGGAGAACGAAGCGTACCCTTTTGCACGGAGCAAGTGAACAACGCGGTTCCAGCGAACCCCGTTCTTGGAAAGGGAGTCGTTGGAAGAACAAGTGGGGGGTCGAATGAAGAAATCCAAACCCCGTTGAAGAAGGTCTTGCGGGTGCAAGGGGGAGAAGGGTGCAAGAACGCCATGCACGGCTAGTTGGTCTCCGAGGAAGATGTTAGGGTTTGATATCAAGACGTTGTTGATCTCGACGGAGTTTCTTGCAGGGTCAACCTTGGTGAGGGAAATGTTTTTGTGGCGGAGGAGGGTGGTGAGGCAGGTTCCTTGGGACATGTTGAGGAGGTCGTGGAAGGAGAAGGGGTTGGAGGAGGAGGCGGAGGTGGTGTGATAGAGGAGGAGGGTTTTGAGGAACCAGAGAGGGTGTGAGGTGTTTCTGATGGCGGAGTCTCTGATGGCGAAGATGGTTGAGTTTTGGGGCGGTTTGAAGAAGGAAGGAGAGTGGTGGAGAAGGTCTGCCATTAGAAGGAAGCCTGCTCTTCGGAGAGCGTTGGAAGCATTGAGAGAGATATCATGGTGTATGGGTGTGGCTTCTTGGCTTGAGTTCTTGGATTCAGAGGAACGAATTGCAGAGGATATGGCGATGATTCCAAGAGCTATTGAGGCTGCAACGTACAGTGGGAACCAACACCAACGGGAATAAGCCATCCACACCACTGCATCAAACATACAACTTCGGCTGTTTATTTATATCATTGTATCAGAAACTATTCCCATTTTCTTTTACTCAGGGAATGGATGATACAACTTATTCAAAGGTCATCAAAATTCAAATCTATGCTAGCATTTATACCACGTATTCTCCCTCATCAGATTC